ACAAAACTCTTATTTTGATACCACCAAATTTATCTGCAGTTCAATGTGGATTAAATTATAAGAAGTAGAAATGTTTTCTTGGCTCTCAACTCATCATCCCTTGAAAAATTATCTCTTCTGTTGGTTTGCATTCAAGGTAAAAATTAGTCAGCTTGGACAATATAGTGAAAAATTCTTAGAATAAGGATATAATTTGTCTAGAGAAGAAGAGTTTGGCAAATCTCAAGGAAAAAATTGTTTTATAAGAGAATTATTGCTTTTAAATCTGAAAATCATTAACAACACTTACTTGTTCTTGTCATTGGAGAACAATCTTAAGGGGCTTGTTGAAGAATTTGGCATCAGAAGTTTTATTTTGCTGATGAGAGAAAACTAGAACATTGTGAGAAAAATAGTTACATGAAACATGATATTCATGTGCATTTTCTAAGCCCCATTTCTACTTTATGTACTACAAAGATGCAGTAATTCAACCAAGAAAGCACATTTTGGTCAGGCATGGTGGTTCACGCCTGTAATCCCAGCACTTTAGGATGCTGAGGTGCACAGATCATCTGAGGTCAGGAGTTCGAGACCAGACTGGCCAACATGGCAAAACCAGGTCTCTACTAAAAAATTCCAAAAAATCAGCCAGGCATGCTAGTGCATGCCTGTAGTCCTGGCTACTCAGAAAGCTGAGACAGGAGAATTGCATGAACTCAGTAGGTAGAGGCTGCAGTGAGCCAAGATTGCACCATGGCACTCCGGCTTGGGTGACAGAGCAAGACTCTGTCTCAAAAACAAAAAAAGTATATTTTTTGAACTATGGAAATCAGTAAATTGTTACAGTCATATATACTGCTTCCTATTAAGTAGAAGCAGAATGTTATTGAAAAGTTTTTGCAAAATCTGTAGCCCTCTGTAGAATATGAGTATACTGTTTTGATGGATCTAGATGTGACTCCTTTTTCCTACTGGAGAGAGACTTTTCCTTCTCCTTCCCCATTTAATTTTTAATTTAATATGTCAGGGTTTCATAATAGAACTTTTTTGTTAGATGAGAAATGCTGTCCTTATAACCCTCTATAAAATAGTGTTCTTTGCCTATTGCTTTCTGAAACATACCCTGATTTTGATATTGTCATTAATCTGTCTCCTCCTAAACAGAGTGTAAGCCTCTGTTTGTCTTGGCTTAAGGCTTTTTATCCTTATAGTATCTAAAACAAAAGTAGTCATATAATAAATGTTTCTTGATTCAACTAATTAATTATCCTTTTCTGGCTCTTCTCATTATTTCAGTAATTTCTATTCAATTTCTGTTTAAACAATAAATGTATTTGTGTGGCATATTTGCATGGATCAACTCCTCCCCATCCCCCAATTTTTTTGTTTTGTTTTGTTTTTGGCCCCTCAGCTGGCACCTAGTATTTGCTTAGTACTGTGTGCTTGGTACTAAATATGTAGCAGGAGATTACAATGGGCTTTGTCCCTGCCTTTATAGAACTTAATATCTCTGTAATAAAGGTCTAGGATATCATTACCTCATGAATAATCTCTCCTCTCTCCTATATTCTGGAAGAGATGCATATCATTGCCTTGTGCCTTGCATTGTTAGTGGTGTCCTTATCATAGTTAATGACATTTTTAAAGCATATCTAAAATGATAAGAATCTTACAGATTGGTTTTCAGTAGTTTTTTGCATATATTGAATTGTTAAATACTCAGTAAATACAGTTATTTAGTTTAAGAAATGTCTAACTCATGTAAAAAATATTTTCAAAATTACTAATAGTTTTTAACTCATATTTCTATTGAGATAATTTCAACAAAGTCCATTTGCTGCTCTGTAGGAATTAAAAGGAGATTTTTCCTCCCTTTTGATAGAATTTTTCTTAAATATATAAGGCTCTGACACTGTTCTCAAAAATGCCTAATGATCAAAAAATGTTATTGGCTTTTAATATTTTAAGTTTCATTCCATTTTCCTTTTTTTTTTTTGGTTTGATTTATCAATAATATAGATTATGGATTACCTTACTCTATTATATGTTGTTATATATTATATACTAAAACAGCAGTAAAATGTCTTCACTCATTTTCTTTTGGATTCTGAGAATGAGCTCTGACCAAATGGCAGCTAGTCCCTTTCCTTTAGCCAGAATTACATCCCGTTTTCCATTATCTCACTTATAACTTTTTTTAACCTTCGTTCTTTTATATATTTAAAATTCCTCTAAGTTCTTTATTGATATGTTTTCTGAAGTTTACTTTAGACCAAAGACTTCTGAAATAAAAGAGCTGGGGGTGAGGCTGTGTTAATTTCATCCCCATGTTCATAGTGTTTTCTTTAAGTGCCTTTTCTTTCCAAAACAATAAGAATAGCAGCTATAGAGATCTGCATGCTAATTGTAAACAGAATCAGATTCCTCTAACAGCAGTTTTGCCAGTGGTGTTTTCAACTGTGAATATTCATTGATTTGTTTTGTAGTTTTTTGAGAAAGCTTTGGCAGAAAAATAATTTCAGTAACATTTATTCAACAGTTAGGCCTATATGCCTGACACTGTACTTTATATAGGTTATCTAGTACGTAACAGCAGTTTTATAAGGTAAGTGATGTTATTTGTATTTTACAGGTGAAGAAACTGAGACAAGGAAGATTAAGTTGACGTGCTATAAAGATATGCATTTCATTCACAGCTTAAAGAAAGCATTATGGATTACATTAAAATTTTGAGTATCTGTGTTTAGGTTAAAATTTTGAGTTTATTCATCAGTCTTTCCTATAATTATGTACAGAATTATAGCTTGATAACAACCCCACTGATAAAACTAACATGTGTGAGCCGGGCACAGTGGCTCACACATGTAATCCCAGCACTTTGGGAGGCCGAGTCAGGTAGATTACCTGAGGTCAGGAGTTCAAAACTAGCCTGGCCAACATGGTAAAACCCCATATCTACTGAAAATACAAAAATTAGTTGGGCATAGTGGCATATGCCTGTAATCCCAGCTACTGGGGAGGCTGAAGCAGGAGAATTGCTTGAACCGGGGGACAGAGGTTACAGTGAGCCAGATTGTGCCGCTGCACTCCAGGCTGGGCAACAAAAGCAAAATTCCATCTCAAAAAAAAAAGAAAACTGAAAAGTGACTGGTTTACTATGGCCTTTTTTGCAGGGCGAGGTCATAGCATTGTAAGTGTAATCATTTTTTTTTTTCTTACTTGGTTATCTTTTACAGACACTAGAATAAAAGACTAAATACTTGTTAGGGTATAATAATCTTTAACTTACTACAAAGATTAATTTAAATATATTAAACCATATTGCTTTAGTACAGATAGAAATTTTAAGTAATTTAAAATGTTGTCATGATTGCAGAAGATTTATTCTGCTTCTTATGTTACTAGCGGGAGTCCTAAGCAATATAATGCTAAGAAAATAGCACTCTCATATCATGACTCAGAGTTAAGTAAACATTAGAAAGAAAATTGATCTTTATACTACCAGGCATGAAGCCCAGAGATAAGTATATTTGTAGGTGTCTTCTAAATTTCAAATTGCTGCCTAATTTTGGCATTTTCTAAAATCTCAAATTTTTAAAATCTACCTCAGAGAGGCCAAATGTTCTAGACATTGATGGCCTCCCATTAGCATAGAATAGAGTCTAAATCTATTGTAGGATAAAATTCATCAACTTACTAACCGTAACAGCATAAAGAACTTTTCTTGATTGGGCACAGTGGCTCACACCTGTAATCCCAGTGCTTATAGAGGCCAACATGGAAGAATCACTTGAGTCCAGGAGTTTGAGACGAGCCTAGGCAACATAATGAGACCCCATCTACAAAAAAAATACAAAAATTAGCTGGGCATGGCGGCATGCACCTGTAGACCCAGCTACTCAGGCGGATAACAGTTATATGCCCAGTTCCTTCCAGGAATCTTGTAAGAGAGTCTTTGGTTCTGGAGTAGGTGGAGAGGGACTAAAAATCCAGTTTAAGATGACCACAGGTAAAACAAAGAGTAACGTCACTATAAGGTTTGAATATTTTGTTTAATTTGTCTCACCAGAAGTTTTATGTTGAGATGTGGCAGATGAAAAACATTTGTCATGTCGACGGACTTGAATTGTCCAAATGATTGTCTTCACATTAAACCATTCGCATTCATAGTTTGCCTCACACATTTCTAGATTTTCTTTTTGCTTAAGCAAAAGTTTCATAAGCTCTCTTTAAAATTTTAACTTCGCCAATGAATTAAGGGAAGGCTACCTCTAAGCAGTGAATGTATTTCTGGAAGGAAATTGCTCCAGAAGGTCACTAGTAAAGTTGTTGACTGCAAAGATAAGTTAAAGACACTGTGAAACCCAGCATTACTCACACACACTGTACAATGGAATTAGCAGTTTGGACTAGCTACGCCCCTATGGGTTCTGCTCTGTAGCTGTTGAATCCTCAGTATTGGGAAAACAGCCAACAGTTCCTTGAATTTGTTTTAGTCCCACCTGTTCTAAGTATGCACTAATGCTTGTAAAGCTGTCCAGACTTTCTGATTTGAATTGCAGACAGATTGGGTTTTTTTTCCCTTTGTAAGATCAGTAAATTAGAAAAAAAAAAAAAGGTAATAATAAATAAATTTATAATTGTAATTTAGATCTGTAGCACATTAAATATTCTGTGTTTTTGTAATATCAATATTTTGTTGATTTTAGAACTACATAAAATGCATTTCTGAAGATTTTGATAAAGGATATGAAAGGTCTTTCTCTACTGCATGGGTTAGATCATATCAAGAGTTTTATAAATAGTTTCAGGTCACGTTACAAAAATAACATTGAGAAATTCATTGATAGATTTGTCTTTATAAGTTGGCCATTTAAATGATGCATGCATTATTTTTGGGGTTTTTTTGTTTTTAAAAATGATAGGTACTTAATACTATGGGTCGTGTTGTTTTGGGAAAATGAACATAAGACATTGTTAAGAATTCAGATTTAATCATTACATGCAAAAGGCACAGATTCAATTTGAAATAGCTTTTATTCAAAGGAAGAAGTATTTTCTCTTGGCAAAACTAGAGGTTTCTCTCTAATTTTCTGTCTATATTTTTATAAATAAAATGCATCACTTGGCTGAAATTTTAAAAAATTTTTACTAGAAGTTAGAGCAATCTTAGATTTTAAATAAATTGTTAAGTATCTTGAACATGTTATTTAGTTATGATTTAAAATATAGCTAAGATTTGTTTTACATTGTGGCAAATATTTACAGTTTAGAAAACAAACTAGTCAACATAATTTTTAAAATAACTAGTATATGGATACACATAATTCTCTGCAGTAGTTGGTGGCAGATGAAACTACATTTATAGGTCCCCCTTTTATAGTTACAGTAAAATTCATTTGAAAAACTTTATATGTAGAAATAAATTGTGCAAAGTAATATACAGGTAACATTTACATTTTTAAGAAATGGTAAGTACAAAGTTTGTCATTTAAATTGGTGACTGCCTCTCTTCAGTCAATAGGCTTGATCATCATCTGAACTGCTCTCAACGAGTATGACCCGCCTCTGTATTCAGCCCAGAAAATTCCATCTTGGTGCTTGCTTCTGTAATGGCCACCTCTGTACCATACTCCATTTAGGTTAGAATGTGCACAGGCATTGTACCACCAGCCTCCTTTATGAAAGTGAGCACAGTTTCCTTTGAGGAAAAAATATAGATACAAACATAAGTTTATTCTAGGTATGGTACTCTGCAATCATCAAAAACTTATTCTGCCTTTAATTTGAACTTCTCTTACTGATCCCAGTTACCTCTATCTTAGCAGTTTTAAATGTCTACATTTATCCTATTGCTGCAGTTGCATCAGCTACTTGAAAGATCACTTATATTGCCTTTTTTTAAAATCTTGCTCTTTTTTTGCTTAATATGTGCCTTTTTAAAAAGGGGGATTTAATTTCCTAGGTAGCAGAGAAGATGCAAGCAGTGTTTATATGTGAAAGAGTTACAGAGGGAGAAATTGGGAAGGAAAGATACAGAAGAAGATAAAGTCTGAGAAAAATTGAATTCTCAAAATAAAATAGCAAAAAATAATACAAAGTAAAATAAAACCAGCGGCCAAATGGGTTTCTGTAAATAAGACATATGTTATGGTCATATCTCTCTTCTCTTTTCTCTTCGTTTACCAGTGTTAAATTGGTTAAAACAGAGCTGCTTGCCAAAATACAGCTGGAGAGAAAAACAAATCAATTTAGGGTAGGAATGGGGGAGGATGGTGGGAGGGAATCTCTTTATCAGGATCAGAAACCTGGGTTAAAAAATGAAAAGCTTATGAAAACTAAATTTAAAATTATATGAATGATCTAATTGTGTCTTTCTAATGAAAATACTAATTTCCCCTCTGAATCAAGCTTTTTTATTATTCCTGTACCACATGTCACAATCATCTTGTTTTTCCTCCTCAAAGAAATGCTCTTACACCATGTATCCAAATGGCTTGCATCCTTCACTCCTTGTGAGTCTTTATTCAAATGTTGCTTTCTCACAATAGCTTTTCCTGGCAAACCTGCATAAAATAGCACCCATCCTAGGCCTTGCTGCCCGCCACTTTCTATTTTCTTACTTGGTTTTATTTTTGAGAGTACTTATTGCCACCTGACAGATCGTTTTGTCTTCTCCAGTGAATAAGCTCCAAAGGGCAGGAACTTGGTTCACTCTTGTATCTGCAGTACCTACAACAGTGCCTGGCGCGTAGTAGGTGTTCAGTTAGTATTTGTTATGAATTTTAGGCACTTGCACTTTTTTTCCAGGCAAATGTGTTCCTGTTTTTTTCCCAGAAATTTGTTTTTCACATAGATCACACTTTGGGATTGCCTTATAGAAGAGATCCCAAAAGCTCTTTCTTTGAGTAGGTTATATTTCCTGTCAGGGTAACCAAAATTGACCTTTTTAAAATAGCATATATAAATAGATTCTATTTAATTCAGAGAAGGTGATGATTCTACAAAGAATGAAATTTTTTTTCGTACATACCTGCATACATATCTTTATCTCTGTCCAGTGTGGTGAATTGTTTACCATTATGCCACATCATAGAATCCCCTGCATTTCCCTGGTAAGTTCCCAGGCGCAGTCTATAGAATTCATTTTCAGGTTCTAGACGAAAGCTGCTGTATTCTGCGTAGACTTTTTTATCACTCCAGTCTTCTAATTCAATCAATAACTTGTAATTATCTTGATTGCTAAGCATATAGATATTTTCCAGTCCAAGCCAATATTCTCCACCAATGTTTCCAAACCCTTTCTATTAATAAATGAAGAAACATGAGTGCATAAATAAATATAGAGATAGCAAACTTTTTTTTCTTTTTTTTGAGACCGAGTCTTGCTGTGTCACCAAGGCTGGAGTGCAGTGGTGCGATCTCGGCTCACTGCAGTCTCTGCCTCCTGGGTTCAAGTGTTACTCCTGCCTCAGCCTCCCGAGTAGCTGGGATTATAGGCGCCCACTACCACACCTAGCTAATTTATTTTTTTTAGTAAAGATAGGGTTTTCATGTTGGTCAGGCTGGTCTGGAACTCCTGACCTCATGATCTGCCTGCCTTGGCCTCCCAAAGTGTTGGAATTCCAGGTGTGAGCCACCATGCCCAGCCTAGAGATAGTAAACATTTTTATAGGTAAGTGTTAAACATTCGATAGTGTAAAGATATTGGCCATTTATGTGGCAAGGTAAGCTTCCATTTTAGTTCATCACTTGAGTTTTATAAGCCACACATTGTCATTCTGTTTTTCGGTTTTTTGTTTGTTTTGCTTTCTTCTAATATGTCAGTATTTATTTGCATAGCTAGCTTCAAATCCTACAAATAAGATAAAGACAAGTGAGAATAAAATTTTTCCATAGCTACTGAAAATATTAGTATACTACTCAAATCCTTAAAAACGGTTTCTGGTATTCATCTAAAGAGCCCAACATTTTTTTCCTAATAGTAATCTTTGTAAAGTAGTAAGATAAGTCATCCAGACTGAAAGGGATCATTTTAAAGTATATCTTCTGTTTTCTTTTTACATTTTAATTTTGACTTTAAAACCAGAGGTGAGAATCATTTTTTTCCACAGGTATAGATAATGAAAAAACATATGAATAGTTATTTTTAACTCTGTATCTTATTTATTGCATAGAATCTTATTTATTGCATCATTGCAAGAGTGGGTTTATTTCACCTCCCTTAGGTTTGCATCACTGATTTACCTTATAATTTTCCCAATTTCTGAAGAAGTTGACAGAGCCGTCTGTTCTTTTCTGAATAACAGTCCAACCTCCAGGATCCAAACTGTTTTCACACCATAGCTGCATTGGTCCATTGCTGTTTTCAGGTTTAATCATATAAATCCCACTGACCGAATGCCCAGCTTCTTTTGCTTGCTGACAGTCTTTGAATGGTCCTATAATTTAAGTATCATTATTATCAGCAAACTTACTATGAGAAGAGACATATTAAAAGTTTTTAATCAAGTTATTTACAGATACTACTTTCTATCATATACGTAATATTATATAAACTAAATAAAAGGATGGCTCCAGTCCTGTTACTGGAACATTAGTTTCATTTTCAACTGTTCTGTTCTTTGTCCATGTATGTATATGTTTATGTTGTTATATAATCCTAATACATGTAGAAAATTGGATTCTGTCTTAACATTTTCATGCACGTATAATCTCCATTCTAGCACTTACAGTAGCTACATAATAGTCCTTGACATTGATATATGTTTATTCCTCTATCATTGGATGTTGAGTTTTTATGATTTTTGCTATTATGTAAACACTGCACAAAGTGTCTTCATTCTTATTGAATTCATTTTTTAATATTATAAAAGTGCTGAGGGATCTATCTACTGGATCAGGGGGGATCAACTCTTTTATAGCCCTACATAGTACCCAATTTACGGTTTTGGAAATTTGCTTTCATTGGAACATGCTAGTACCTTGAGTATTTGTACTCATTGAAAATGGGGTACCAGTCAAATAAGTTTTAGAAATGCAAAATACTATGTTTCCCATTTGGAAATTCACAATATACATTCACATATTAAAGACTGAGAAGCCCGGAAATAAACCAGAGATACCCAAACTCATAGAATCTTAAATTTCCCCCAGTAACACTTAATAACAGCCCGTCAGGAATGTTAGCATAACTGCCTATCTAAAGAGTTGTATCAATCTGTATACCTGATAATAATTTTCTCATTTAATCTACAGTTACCTGGTGATGGTTTATAGGTGTTCTAGAGATAGGACAATTAACTAAGGTCATGTATCTTAGAAGACGGTAAATCCTAGACATAAATCCCTGTCTAATCCCAGAGTCCCTGCTCTGAACTGCTGTGTTGCATGCATTTGCCCTCATTTTATTTCATAATTTTAGGTATTCTCTATTTTTAATCCACTAATAAGTTCTTCAGATTTTACAAATGACAACACATTCTGTGAAATTACTTTTAGGATGTCTGACTCTTGAACTTGCGATTTCCCTATTTTTGGATCTAGTTAATATTCTTCCGTTTCATCCTCCTCCAGTCTTTCAAGCCTTTTTTAATAAACATGCAAAATATATTAAGGGATTTAGAAAAAAGAGTTACCCTAAAGATCTCTTAGAACAAAAAATGTATAAAAATTCTGATTGCCAAATTTTATATTTTACTAGAAATTTTTAAATTCTGACTTGCATAATTTTTAGAAATTATGTGAGAGTTAAGTAAAGTTCTTAAAAGATTTTCTGTACTATAAGGATAATAGGATTGTTGAAATTTTGAGAAATGTCCTATCTATACTTTGCCAGATATGTACAGTATTCCTTTTGGGCCTTATTAGGATAGAATTAATCTCATTAGATAATTGTGCAACTATAACAACAGAAGGAGTTCTTAGAGACTATGAGCTCTTACTTGTAGACTGTTCCCTAGGACAGACAATTTTTTTTTTTTTTTTTGGCTTCATGTCATCAATGTTTAAACCCTTAGGAGACTGTCGATAATTTTTTGTTAGTTAAATTTTTCATTTTAAATACAAAGAAATTGAAACTAAACACAAAAATCAAGAGAACATCAGTTTCTGTAGTCCAGATGTTTATTATGTTGCATTGATATTTTTTCTCTCAAATTTTTAAAAATTACAATGCAATGTTTATAAATAGTACGAACTACTAGTAAAATTTTGAGAAACTTAAATACTTGTGGTGTCTTTCTTGGATTATGTTTATTTTAGGTATTGTACTTTTTAGTTCTAGAGTTTCAATTTGATTCTTTTCTATAGTTTTTATTTCTCTTTTGAGATGCCCTCTCTTTATATTCATTATAAATATATTTTGCTTTCAGACATTGAAAATAGCTATAACCACTACTTTAAAATTTTTGTCCTCAGTTCCAAGTTTGCTGAGAGTTTTTATCATGAATGGATTTTGGATTTTTTGAAAGGCTTTTAAAATTATTTTTCTTTTTAAATTTTTTTCTAACTAGACATATCACAGGAATCAAAGGCTTTTAGTCTGCCTACTGAGATGATGATAGGGTTTTTCATTTTGCTGTTGTTTGTTAACACATGAATTACATTTAAAAATATGTGTGTGTGTGTGTGTGTGGTTTTGGATTTTGAGCCCGTCGCCCATGCTAGAGTGCAGTGGTGTAACTGTCATAGCTCACCACAGCCTCAAAATCCTGCACTCAAGTGATCCTCCCACCTCAGCTTCCCAAGTAGCTAGGACTACAGGCAAATGCCACCATGCCTGGCTAATTTTTTTTGGGGGGGGGAGGGGGGAAGAGATGGGGTCTTGGTATGTTGCCCAGGCTGGTCTTGAACTCCTGGTCTCAGTAATCCTCTGAACTTAGCCTCCCAAAGCGTTGGTATTACAGGTATGAGCCACTCCACCAGCCTTTACATTGATTATATTTTGAATGTTAAACTAACCTTGTGTTCCTGGGATAGGCTTGACTTGGCGAAAGTATTCAGAGGCCTTAACACAATACCTAACAAAGTAGCCATCATCGGTAACTGTTAGTTCCCTCATTTCTGCCTTATTCCTCATCTCAACCTATAATGGTAGCTTATGTCATAATTTAGTAGAATATTTAATATCTGCTTATTTAATAAATTTAATATAACTCATCAAAGATGAATGTATAGTCATTTCTACTGCAGAGAAATATTACTGAAAAACCTCATGCTCTGCAAATTCATGCATTAAAAATAATAGCTAATTTTAGCTGTTAACATAATTTGTATTTAGCTGCAGTTACCTGTGGCATAAAACGTTAATATGCTTGGAAAAAAATCTCATGTAAACCAGTATAACCTCTTTGTTTTGCTAACACTGTTTTCCTTTTTCACCAGTCACGTATGGGCTACTTCACATTACAGAAACATGCATTGTAGTCAAGTGGGAAGAAGGATAAAGAACTTATATTTCAGAAAAGATGAAATTTACAGAATTTTTATTTCCTATGTGGGAGTGAGATGGAAGGAAAAGTGAATTATGACTGCAGGCTCAAACTTAGATTATTTTGTGTAATTCAGGTAGTATATTTGTTTACTTACAGTATTCATAGGCAAGGACTTTATCTTTCCGTGTGTATCCACAGTTTAGCACACTTAGGAATCCAGATACGTAGATATAAACCTACATGATTGCTAGCAGTAATGGTTTCCAGAATTCCCTTATTCTTTTCCCTTATTCATGCATTGTTCTTTCAAGAAATGTCTTTTCTGTATCTACTATAGGCTAAGGACTGTTTTAAGTTCATGTTGGGGGTGGGAGAAGTGGCAAGAGAGAGAGAATTCCACTGTAATATACTTTGATGGAGTTACATAGGGCACATGGTAGCAAAGCCTAAGAACTAGCTAACCGAGATCTCTGAGGAGCATTGCTCTTATTTTAAAACCTATTTGTATTATAGTTCATGCACACGTGAAAGTGGTTTTGTTATAACATACAAATACCTCATTTTGTAAATTTGCATAGTCCGTTATCTTTGTATTGGTTATTCTATGAATTTTTTTTGGTAAATGTTTACATTCATTTGAGTATAGTTTTGACAGTTTACATTTAAGTATATAGTCAAAGGATGGACTTTTATTAGGTTATTTGCTTTGCTGCAGAATATTTAGAAACATCAGTGTTTTGAATGTTGACAGATTATTTGTCAAGTATCATTTATTGCATAGAGTTATACTCATTTTCTGCTATTTAGTAGACACTCAGATGATTAAAACGAAATGGAGAGTTCTGGGTTTTCTGAATCCAGCTTTGATTTGATAAGACTTCAATTATGCAAATTTAATATTACCTTCAGCTTTAATTTTCAACCCATTTTTTGCATTGGGCTTTCTGTTTATTGTTGGATGTCTGTTAGACTTAGGAAAATGTAATTGAAGTTCTTTTTCAGAACATATGGATAAAATCTAGCAGTGTTTACAGCTACTTTTTTCTCCTCAGTAAAGATATTAAATATCAGAATTCAATATTTGTTTGTATTTATTTTTATAAACATACCATTAACCTGTCCTAGTTCACTGTATATTGTTGACCCTGGCAGAAATATTTTCTCATTATTACTTGCAAACCTTATTTACTTTCTGCCCTAAAATTAGATTATCTCTTGTCCCTATCTTAAATGTTTTCACTGCTTTTTCTGTAACATAAACAACATTGCTTGATAGAAATTGTTAAATGACAAATAGAAAATTTTAAGCTTTGTTCTTGAGAAGTCAAATTTAATTTACAGGTTTACATAATTTCAGAAATAAATTGATTGACATGTAAATCAGGAATTTGTTCACGATGCTTCAAGTAGTATAGACTGGAATTACCTTTCTTTTAAAATAGGCATAGTATCAACTTTTTTTTGCAAGAGTCTTTTCAAAGCAGGAAACTGGAATTCTGTTCTTTGAATTTGAAGAACCAGTCTCTCTGTTCCTCAGTTTATGTGAGGATTAAAGTTTATACAGGGCTAGTGAAATCATATTAATACCTCTGATTCATAGAAAGAAAAATGTTGACGAGTCATGCCAGATTATCTCCCAAGATGTATTTTTTATTAAGAACCCATATTTTGAATAGAATAGTGAGTTTAAAAAGAAAAAAGGATTTCATACTTTGAATAGCAGCTTTACTGGGAGCCATCTATAACATATGTGTTCTTTTTCTATAAAAAGAACTTTTTAATTATAAAATTACAAAGAAAATCCTTTTTGTGATATGAAACAGCCAATTCAGAGTTTTCAAATAATTGATTAGCAAGTAGAATCTTTTGAGAGGTAAACTTTTCTGTTGGGTTGTGCATTAACTTCCAGATTCAACATTTCTGGAGTGGGAAGTTTGAGACAAATACTTTCTAAAGTGACAGTAGAATCTTTCTTGTAATAATATGAAATGCCCAATATCTGTATG